GTGTGTGTGTGTGTGTGTGTGTGTGTGTGTGTGTGTGTGTGTGTGTGTTCCAGTATAATTCTAGAACACCTCGAGCAATTTCAACCAAACTTGGAACATAAATGACCTTACACTCTGGAGAAAAATACTGTGGGGGTAAGACATACTGTACAGCACGGGGGAGTTTCCAATAGCTTCACAGTACTCTACAAGGGGCCTCCCTCTGGTAAGTGGGAAAACATTTGGTCCGGACATTTCCCCCCTATAGATAAATACCCAAACAACGTCAGGATACCAGCTAATTCTGAATAAAACTCCAGATGATGAAATAATAAAACGCTAATTTTTAAAAACGATCTGTACATCAATATCTAGCATATGCTCCAGAGGTTGTTATTATGGGACTATATTTATAGATACCATTTTGTGGAATGTGGAATCAAACACAGGTAGTCCCTGACTTACAATTCATTTAGTGACTGTTTTAAGCGTGTGCTCAGCGAACCGGTTAGGAACCCCCCACTGGCCTGAGATGATGACTGGTTGGAATTCTAAGCCAAGACAACTGGGATGGTGGATTCTGTCAAATAACTGACATGATATAGGAAGCAGTAAGGGCAGGGAGAGGAAGATGTAGTTTTCTCCTGCAAAGCAGAAAATGCAGGCAGCTGTCTCACTTAGCAACAGATATTTTGAGATCAACTGTGGTTGCAAGTCAAGGATTTACCTGTACATATTTTCTAGATCAATTTTTGTGATTTTTTGCGTTTGTCCAGATTTGGGCCGATGGTAACTCTCACACAGCATCTGTAAGTATCAGGTCTATCATTCTGTCTCTATTTGTATTTCCCAAGACAGCCTGTCTTGTGCTCATTTGTTCTTCCATATCATTTGGGTCAAAGCTGTGCCTGAGCTAATTCTTCCTTCCACGTCTCTTATCTCTCTTTTTCCCTTGAACTCCTGGAGTAAAAACCGCCCTGTTGGCAGAAAGGATGTACCATATTTTTTGGAGTATAAGACGCACCAAGGTTTTGAAGAGGCAAATTTAAAAAAAAAGTAGGTAGGTAGGTAGAGGGATAGAGAGGGAGAGAAAGAAAAATACAGTAGGTAGGTAGGTAGGTATAGGGAGTAGTTAGGTAGGTAGGTAGATAAAGGGATAGAGAGAGAAATAGAGAAGTATAGTAGGTAGGTAGGGAGAGAGAGTGTGTAGGTAGGTAGGTAGAGGAATATAGAGAGAGAAACAGAAGGTTCACCGACAAAAGGGCGAACGACAAAACCACACCCAACTAAACCGCGATGACAACACTGCGTGTTCTAAAGCACTCCGACGAATGAGCGCTGAATCTCGCCGACAACAGTGCGGCAACAGAAGCGCGCTGTAAAACTAAACCTAACCCTAACCCTAAACCTAACCCTAAACCTAAACCTAACCCTAACCCTAACCCTAACCCTAACCCTAACCTTAACTTAAATCGTGCTTTTGTGGGTGTGGTTTTGTCATTCACCCTTTTGTCGGGTCACGAAACAGAAAGAGGGAGAGAGAGAAATACAGTAGATAGGTAGGGAGAGAGAGAGTAGTAGATAGGTAGATAGAGAGATAGAAAGGCAAAAAATGCTGTATTCTGTGTATAAGACACACCCAGATTTTCAGCCTCTTTTTTGAGGAAAAAAGGTATGTCTTATACTCTGAAAAATACGGGTAATTGGCCTAATAAACTACTCTGACATAAAAATATCAGCAAAAACTTTTAATGGGATGGTTAGAAGTCAACCTCTGGCCTCAATCTGCATGTGTGTGTGTGTGTGTGTGTGTCTTGGTGTTTTATGTGAAAAATGCCAGGTGGGTTGTGAAACATAAAACAATGAGGCAGTCATTATGAGAGAGGCTAATCGTCAGCTATAATTTAATACACTTAGTGGCAGCTATTCATTTAGAGATGTTCTAAGTGGTGGCGACAACTAAATTAGCCCATTCTTTTTCTTGTTGTGCAGTGCCAGGGATCATTTGCATCAGCTTCCTGGCCATTTCTGAAAAGGAGCATCTCCTCAAAGTGTTGCATCATGATGGCCTAGAGGAGGGAGAACTGAAAGGAGGAGGGGGAGAAGGGAGAGGGAGAGAGGGGTGAATGGGGCATGTTACTAAGACAACATGTAGGCATGGGGTGATAATTAGGACTGGCATTTCCACTGAAAGTCATTGTATTTGCAAGTGGAGCTGGACCCAACTTTATAACATTTTTTTACAATGGTCATTAAGCAATTCCCCCATAGTTGTTAAGTGAATCCAGCTTCCCTAATAGGTGTTTTTTTCTAGAAAAAAGGTAGCAAATGTGATAACAGAACACCACAATATCATAAGCCAGCTGCCAAGCATCTGAAAGGTGACCAAGGGAGTAGTGCTATGGTTGTAAGGGCGATATAAGTTGTTAAGTTGAAGCCATCACTGGTCAAAAGGGCCCAGCAGAGATTATACTACCAGACTTCTCAGGAAAGAACACCTGAATGAAAACTGCTGACCACCTTCTACCGCTGCACCATAGAGAGTATTTTAACTTACTGCACAGCGGAAGATAGGACAGTGCTCCAGAGGGTCAACGTCATTGCCCAGAGGATCATTGGCTGCCCTCTCTCCATTTGGAAGAGCTTTATAGCTCCTGCTGCCTTAAGAAAGTTCAAAACATTCTTAAAGATCCATCTCATCCTGGGCATCCTTTTTAAAAAAAACTTTTACCATCTGGCAGCCGGTCACAGGAGAATAAAAACAAGGACAAATAGGCGGAAAAACAGCTTTTATCCTTGGGCAGTAACCATATTGAATTCTACGGTATAGTGCAATATTGGGATTTCAATTTCAGTTATATAGAAAGTAAAGGATGTATGTTTGTGCTTTTATTTTTATAGTTATAATGTACACTGAAGACAGCATTTAATTTACCAAGTGCTATGACAATAAAGTAAACTAACTAATTAACATTTATATGACAGAATAACCTTCCCTAAATAGCTTGTGGTTCATATGGAGTGAAAAGCAATCCTTGGTGTGTATACTTTGAAAGCTAAAATCCTTGCCTGGTGAACCTTGGTTATCTTAGACATGTGAATTTTGAAAGCATGCTATTGGTACACAGTCAGGTCCAAGTCCAGAGATAACGCTATAACCTTCTAATCTACCGTACTAGACATCCTGGGGGATTCTAGAATGTGGCAACCTATATTTTTTTGCGGGGGAGCAATCATCGGGAGATGACGCATTCCAATCCCACCTTAGGCTGGGTGACTTTGGGCCAATCCCACCCTCTCAGCCCAACTCACCTCACAGGGTTGTTGTTGTGGGGGGGGAAAGGAGAAAGGTGTGCTGGATATTTGCCAGCTGGAGCTATTTATAAAAATAATAAAAGATAACACAAGGCCACAGGAAAGATATTATCCAAATACCTCGACTTATGAACCACAATTGAGTCCAAAATTTCTGTTTCCGTGCGACATTTGCTAAATGAGCTTTGCCATGTTTTACAACCTTTCTTGCCGAAGTTGTTAAGTAAATCTGTCCTCCCCGTTGACTTTGCTTGTCAAAAGGTCCCAAAAGGGGGATCACATGACCCCAGGTCTCTGCAACCGTCATAAATATGAGTCAGTTGCCTGACTCATATTTATGACGGTTGCCAAGCGGCTGAGTTGCCAAGCGGCTGAATTTTGATCACATGATCACGGGGATGATGCAATGGGTGCTAAGTGTAAAAACGGTTAGAAGTCACTTTTTTCAGTGCCATTGTAACTTTGAATGGTCACAAAATGAACTGTTGTTAAGTCGAGGACTGCCTTTCATTTTGGCAGCTTTTCTAGACACCTTGGCTACGAGATAGGGTAAAATCTAACAGCCGAAGCTTTTCCTGTCACTTCAATTTCAGGCCAAAAAAATTGCTCTACTAATTATCTGCTACAAACACCCCCACCCCGAAGAACAGAACCATTAAGGAAAGTTGGCTGTGCATGATCGCCAGCCCCTTTCCATCACTATCTTGAATACTATCTTGAATACCTTTGCCCTCTTGATTTCTGCTGTTGTTTTTATGCGCAGCCTTCATAAGGCAATAAATATTCCATCTTACATCAGCCCAACTTAAGTCGATAGTCCACTAATGTTCCCTGAAGGCGTGTGAGAGCTTAGCAAGCTTCTTTATGGCTGAGCAGGTCGTTCTGCTTTCTTGAAGTTCCTGCAAATGTACCAGAAAAACAGCACAATCAGAACCATCTAATTCGTCCGGTGACATATGGAACTGTGGAAAGATGCAACGATCTGAATATTTACAGAAAGTACAATTACTAAAACAGTTTTAAGAAAAATGTGGAGGGGGCGGGGGGGAGGTTTGTGCCATAATTTCAAACACTGCAGTTTGTGCCATAGTTTCCCTGTGGGAAAATATTGTGTATTGGCATGTTTTATATTTATAAGATAGATCATCTTCTTTTAACGACCCCATAATCCCTTGCAGGGTGGAGTCTGGGCAACTGAATGGCGCTAGAAGTGTTTACTGGCTGGATGCCCTTCCTGTCGCCAATGCAGAGTTTTGTTTAGCAGATATTATTCTCATTGTGCCCAGAGAGATTTATAAGATAAGATAGATAACTTTATTGTCATTCTTTTTACTGCGAACCCACATTAAAAATGAAATTCTGTTGCCTCTCTCAAGAAAAAGTTTATATCTACCCAAACACATATGTAACACACATATACACCTGTTATAAACATACATAAATATATACCTGCACTATACATATATATGCATATACACATATATTTATATTATAAATATAACATTAGAAATTATAATCTTTATAATTCATGTTACAATTATAAATGATAAGATGTGACCTAGCAGTTATACAAATCTAGAAACTAATTTATACGGTAAACCATAGTTAAACCAGAAGGCTGAGCGATCTTTATACAGCACGGTGCAGAACTACATTTCAGGATATGTGCATTTCTGTGTCTTAAATGCAGGCAATAGTATCCTGGCTTGTAAGGTTTCTAGATGACAAATAATAGTTTGTGCAGAATAACCCACATGTATGGAGTAAACCAAACTTCAATTCAATACCAGGGAAATTGGGCTCAAATTTACCAACTAAAAAGAAAGATGTGTTGTAAGTGCAAGTGGGATTTTTAAGCCAGGGACAGGTACTCTCTGGATTAAAAAACGTCACTCATACTTACAAATGTGCTACCTATTACTAAAAACAGCGGGCGGGATTTTACTTCCTTAAGCTGATGAGCTGAAGTCACACACAGCCCTGGATTTTTAATACACAGCTTGTTTTCAGAGGTTCATGAGGACATTGTGCAGCTTTGGCAATTCGAACACCATCTGCCATTTTTAATAATGGGAAATGTCTTCATCAACAAAAGTTCCAACTTACATACAAATTCAGTTAAAGAGTAGAACAGAACTCATTCTTATCACCTCAGCCAGTGGTGAAAATCAAACTTTTTTACTACTGGTTCTGTGGCATGGCTTGGTGGGCGTGACAGGGGGAGGATACTGCAAAACTCCATTCCCTTCTCACTCCAGGGGACGGATACTGCAAAATCTCCATTGCCTCCTCACTCTAGAGGAAGGCTACTGTGAAATCTCCATTCCCTTCCCACTCCAAGGGAAGGATACTGTGAAAGCCCCATTTCCTCGCCACTCCAGGAGAAGGATACTGCAAAATGTCTATTCCCTCCCCACTCCAGGGGAAGGATACTGCAAAATCTCCATTCCCTCGCTACTCCAAGGGCAGGATACTGCAAAATCTCCATTCCTTCCCCACTCCAGGGGAAGGNCTATCATGTCTCCCCTGGTCCTTTTGTTCATTAAAGCCAGATTAACAGAGTTGGAAGGTTCCTTGTAGGTCATCTAGTCCAACCCCCCACCCAAGCAGGAGAGCAAACACCATTTTTGACAGATGGCAGTCCAGTCTCTTCTTGAAAGCCTCCAATGATGAAGCTCCCACAACTTCCGAAGGAAACTTCTGTTCCATGGGTTGATTGGTCTCACTGTCAGAAATTCTTCCTTATTTTTAAGTTGAATATCTTCTTGATCAGCTTCCACCCATTAATCCTTGTCTGGCCTTCGGGTGCTTTGGAAAATAGTTTTCCTGTTATGGAAAACAATTTTATCAGTGGAATAGCTTTCCTCACAGGGTTGTGGGTGCTCCATTGCTGGAGCTTTCCAGAAAAAGATTGGAAAACCATTTGACTGGGCTCCTGCTTTGGACTTGGATGAGAAGTCCCTTCAGGCCTGTGATTCTATGTTCTCTGGAGGCCTCACACACGCTTCCCCTTTCTTCCCCTTCTTCCTTTCTCACTCTGGCTTCTATGCAATTCCAAATCATCCTTCACTCGCCATACCCCAGGGCACAGCTGCAAAGTTCAGCCATGGGGCATGAGTGCCACAGCAAAGCACTCCCCTTTATGGCGGTTCTGAATTTGGAACGTTTCCCTATCACATTATGCTGAACAGGCAAATGAGGGGGTTTCAGCAGCCCCCGGCGTTAATGATGAACAGAAAGGCAGTTCTGGAATGGAAAAAGTCTCACTTGTTTTTCACAAGGGGCGAGAGCAAAGGCTTAAAACCATTCAACCGTACTCTGCAGCTGATCGATTTAGCCCCCTTTAAGTAGCACTTGTGATTCTGGTGGCAAGCTGTTCCATTGGTTAATTGTCCTCACTGTTAGGAAATTGCTCTCCCTAATTCCAGATTGCTTCTCTCCTGGATTAGTTTCCATCTGTTGTTTCTTGCCTTGCCTTCTAATGCTTTGGAAAATAAGTTGACCCCTTCTTCTTTGTGGCAGCCCCTCAAATATTGGAACACTGCAATCATGTCTCCTCTAGTCCTTCTTTTCTCTAACTAGCCATACCCAATCCCTTCAATCGTTCTTCATATGTCTTCATATGTTTTAAGCTGCAGGCCTTTAATCATCTTAGTTGCTCTTCTTTGCACTTTTTCCAAAGTCTCAACATTTTTTTTTGTAATGCGGTGACCAAAACTGGATGCGTTATTCCAGGTGTGGTCCTAATTGTCCTCACTGCTAGAAAGTTTCTCCTTAATTCCAGGTTGCCTTTCTCCTGGGTTAGTTTCCATCCATTGTTTCTTATCTTGTTTTCAGGTGCTCTGGAGAATAGCTTGACTCCCTCTTCTTTGTGGCAGCCACTCAAATTCTGGAATACTGCTATCATATCCCCCCTAGTCCTTATTTCCTTTAGACTAGTCACCAGTCAAACCCAAAATCTGCAGGCGTTCTTCATATGGTTTAGTCTCCAGGCCTTTGATCATTTTAATTGCTCTTCTCTCAACTTCTTCCAAAGCCTCAACATCTTTTTTGTAGTATGACCAAAATTGGTTGCAGTATTCCAGTTGTGGTCTTACTAGGGTTTTATAAAGGGGCACTAATACTTTAAGTGATCTTGATTCTGTGCCATCCCAAATTGTATAGCTAAATATCTGTAGAGATTCTCAGTCATCCAAGTCATTGGATGACTACAGGAACCAGAAGCACCACTCAGGTGACCCTGAGGACACAGGTAAACCTCCAAGTGCTTCAAGGACCCTCTAAAAGGATGCAAATGACCAGTATAAATCATTCCATTCCCCACCATTCAGTCAGAGCTGAAAAAGCTTCTTCAATGGGAAGTGAAATGTTTTCAAAAGAAAAAAACAAAGTCCAGTTGCCTCCTGAAAAAGCACCTTTGGGACAACTATGATCTGGAGGACTGAAAATCTCTACAGACTTGGCAACTTTAAGACTTCAACTCCCAGCACGGCTGGCTGGGGAATTCTGGGAGTTGATGTCCACAAGTCTTAAAGTTGCCAAGGTTGGAGACCCCTGCATTAAAGTAAAGTAGAATAAAGTAGTAAAGTAGTCTTAAAAGTCTCCAAGGTGTGTCACCCCTAGATGCAAAAGAAGTCACATTTTAAAAAGCCCACGGTTGCTTCAAAATTTTGTCTTTCGTCTTCTACTTCTTTCCCTGTTGTTGCAGCAGTCACTGCCACAGGGAAAAAGTGAAAATCCACCCCCCCATGAAGAAGAGAAGCAGGGAAAAAAAAGACTCCAAGGCCAAGATTTCTTATACTGTGGGAGGCTTAGGTCTGTCTAGGTTACAAAGAAAATCCAACAGCAAGCGAGGCTTTTCCTCATCTTCCTAGTGTAATTTCTTTTGCAATTTCTAATAGGATTAAGTCCAGGCCATCTGCAGGAGATTTTAAAATGACCCAACTCTCCCTCCATAATGCAATCACAGAACAGGAAGGCAGGGAGGGCCAGGCCTCTTCTCTAAGCATCCTTCAAGAGGCTGGCTTAAATCACCCGTCACCATGGCAACCTATTCAACCTCGCTGGACTTTTGTGGTCTGAAGCCGCTGCAACATGTGGCCAAGAGGAAAGAGTCAGTTATCCAGGCAGGGACAGGAATTATTGATCTTAGCCATAAATCAATCTCAGGAAGAAGGAATCCGAGAAGCAGATGCATTTTGAAAACATAACAGGAGTTGGGGGCAACCAGTTACAGGTAATCCTCGATTTATGGCTTCACTTAGTGACCATTCCAAGTTACAACACTGCTGAGAAAAGTGACTTTATGATCGATCCTTGCACATAACAACTGTCACGGCATTATCATGGTCACAAAATCCGTTATTTATGACAATTGCTGCTTTCCGTGGTCAAGAGATCTCCATTTGCAAACTTCCCAGCTGGCTTCCTGTTCCTTTAACAATTGCAGTGATTCGCTTAACAACCACAGCCAAAAAAAAAAGTTCATACAATTGACTCGTTTTATAACTGCTTTGCTTAGCAACTGTTATTCTGCTCCTTTGTGGTTTGTTATGTGAAGGACTGCCTGTAATCTTATAAATTCAGTTCTGCTGTGCATTAGGATAAAAGAGTTTCAAGAAAGCCAGGACAAGCGGGAGTGATTTCTGAGCAGTCAGAAAACTTTCTTAAGATTAACAATTAACACATTAACAAGAGCTGGAAGAGGGCTTGGGGGTCTTCTAGCTCAAGCAGGAGAGAATATCATTTCAGACAAATGGATGTCCAATCTCTTCTTAAAAACCTCCAGTGATGGAGCTGCAATAACTTCTGGAGGAAAGTCGTTCCGCTGGTTGATTGTTCTCACTGTTAGGACATTTCTCCTCAGTTCCAGGTTGCTTCTCCCCTTGGTTAGTTTCCA